AATACTGCACTTGCAAAATCCGCACTGATGCCAAGAATAAACGTTTCTCGATTGGGAATTTGGCTTGTTTGTTAGGGGGGGATACAGGGGTCAGAATACAATTGTCATTCACAGTGAGTGGTCAAAGGATAAAATTTGCAGTATTTGCCGTCTTATTGAAAATTGTGTTATCATAAGTATCATGACGAAACTAATGAAAATGCTTTTTCCAGTCTGGAATATTCTATTTTTTAAAATTATTTATTGCAGTTCCATAGGCTGCATAAAATAAAGAAATTAAGGTGTATTCTTATATCAATTAATTGTATCAAATAGATGAAAAATATCCTTCAGATTATGTCATCATTAACACTGAATACCATTTGGTCAGAATATTTGCACCAGAGCATCTAAGAAGAGCATGAAAAGAGCCATCATTCCCATATCGTTTGCCTTTATTGATGAAGAAACTGAACGTTAGACAATCACAGCAGAAAGACATTTTTAGCAGATGCCTGAAAATCATTCCCTATATAAAGCAGTGTAGATTTTTTTTCTGTTTGGGAAAGGCTTTTTCCTAGGTGACCATGAAGTGTCTATCTTGACTGGGTTGTTTTAGATAACAGGATCAAGAGTTCTCAGCAAAGAAACAGCTACTGACAGAGCTGTTGATGAGGTGGTAGGAAGCGAAGGAGAAGTGTTAGTTTGGGTTGTGAGTCACAGAATCTCAGAATGATTGAGGTTGGAAGGGACCTCTAGAGATCATCTAGTCCAAGTCTTTGATCTTGAGTTTTTGAGCCTCCAAAGTCTTTGAGCTTTTGGCCAAATTGAACTTTAGAAGGTAAGTTTTATGAGCTTAAAGAGGTAAGTTTTTCAAAGAAGGGAGAATATACGTGACTTTCTCATACTTTAAAGAAACTTTTTTTTTTTTTTCATGTGCTTCGAACAAAGTACTGAGACTTGCTGCGGATAACCACATAATATCCAATCATTCCTATGGCAGCTGCAGAGGTGGCTGGGTAGATACAGACTTGCCCTATTCTGTGCAGGCCACCTGTCTGCCTGCAGAAAGGATGTAAATACCTTTTATCTTCAGCAGTAGGAAATGCCCTAAAGCATCTATTTTTACCAAGAAAATATTGACTTGTCACAGTACAGATGAAACAAAGAGTAATAAGCAATTCACTGGAAAGATATGAGAAAAGAAATCATACAAAGGAGAGTCCTTACTGCTATCTTGCTTTCCTGATTCTTTTACCTCCTATTTCTGGCTTTTCATTTTGGACTTTGCAACTCAGCTTCCTTTTGGCGTTTCCCTTTGAATCCTTGCTTCTCCTACAGCACTGTGCTTGCAGCTTTTTGTAAAGGAAGCCTGTGGAAAGGTTGGAGGGTTCAGGAATGTATGGCAACGTATTTTTAGTTTAGGTATTGCCTTTTGGAAATTAACAGCGAGGGTCATGAATTAAAGCTTTTCCTATGCTTAAAGAGATACTAATGTTTTCGGCTTATACTGACTTTAAATATTCAAAAGACTGGAAAACTACAGAGGATAAAATGTTAAGTCCAGAAAAATCAAACTGAGTGATATTTTGTCCATCTAAAGAATAAAATAAGCAAGGATGGGAACATAGGCCTAATGAATAGCCTACTCCAATGTATCAGCCAGAGATTAATTATGTATCATGAGGTACATCTTTTCATGGTGATCTTTAAAAGATGGGGCAAACTTTTCAAAGGAGCTTTACACAAGTTGGAGACCCCACACAAACTCCTTTCTGCTTGAGAAGAGGGTTATTTGCAGAAGAACGTAGGAAAATTGTACTCTGAAGTATCCAGCTGGATGCACAGTTGATCAGTTCCAAAGCAGTGATTGCTTAATTCCCTGTGAAGCGTTGAACTGAAACCTTTTCTGCTTCCAGAAAGAATACCAGACATTATATATGGTGATGTAATTATGAGGTAAACCAGCACCAAAGTAATTTATACTGTAAGTTAAAAAGAAAAAAAGAAGTTACTGTAGCACTGATCTGATCTGCTCCAGAAAATCTTCTGCATTTAAAGTGTATTGTTAGTGCAAGCTAAATAATGGTGCCAGGTTTTCTGCTGTTGATAGCTGGAGAAGCTTCATTAACTCCCATTGCATCAATTTTCAAGGGGCAGTTCAGTGCACGGCTTTACAGGACCAAGCTGTTCATTGGAAGGAAAAACCTAATGGATTCAACAGGTAAAACAACAAAGAAATATTAAAACCAGAGGGAATGAACATAGAATTTATTTCATTACTCAATCAGTGGACAGTGTGGAAGGCCATATTTTCATAATTTCCTCCAGTGATACTCATGGATAAGTCAGAATTCTATCTGTTCATAATGTTTTCTTCCATTCCATGTATTTCTTGATCCATTGTAATAATTTACTTTGGCTTCTAATTCCAAGCACAGAATGTAGTTTCCATTTTATTCCAAATAATATTGGCTTGTTGCTAGGGGAGTGTGCTGATTTCTTTTACGATTTCTTTTCCTCACCACATCTGCATGTAATTTTTTATTTATCATCTCCCTAGCACATTTTCTCTGTGAGAAGCTGAAATGTGAAATGCAGTCATTTCAAGTCTTGCTTGATGCTTTAAACAAGGAGCATTTCCTAATTATATTTATACAAAAGGACCATAACAGTTTTACTACCAGGTGTAAATGTCTATAAGCATGTTTGGATGGATCTGCACCCTTTTCTCTTATCTGTAAGTAAGCAGGTGTGAATTTAAAAGACAGGTGTGAATGAACTGGGTGAGTAAAGTGGGATCTTCTCACTCCTCATTACCCCAGACCCACCTGCTGCACTAAGTAACCTGCTTCTTTGGGCTGTTTCATTCTTGGAAGCAGATTTAGCCTGGGGGAATGAAATGGTTCCTGCCCTTAGCTGTTCTCCTGTGCAGTTAGCATTAGCATCTCTCCCTTGTGGTGGGACTGCGCCATGGACATTGCAGAGGCTCCTCAGCCGGTGCAGGTTGCAGCCTGACTTCTTAGTATAAACCAATGGCAATTTTAGATGGTGTCTACGCCAAATGAAATGGACAGTGGTTTATATTAGTTTGCTGAACCATGAACTCTGGGGCTGTTCTTGCAGACATCGGGTTGGGTTTTTGGAAAACAAGCCTTTGCCATGTTGTGCCTGTGATGTGGTCAGGGATAGCACATCCATTTCCAGTTTATCCATTTCCAGGCTCAGCAGAATCTTGCACTTCTTAGTTTTTCAGTTCACATCTTCAATTCCACACTTGACCTACTCCTTTCCCATCCCAGAGGATAGCTGTGCTGCTGCTAGAGATGAGGTTGTCTATGGCTGTTAGTTGCTGTCATTTCATGCCTATCAGTAGAGCCATGGCATCAGTAGAGCCTGTCAGTAGACCCATAGAGATTTTGACTCTAGCACTATGATTTTTACTCTTTAAATTCCCTGACTGCAGTTGAGGTTACATGTAAACCCAAGTGTGGGCTAGTATAGTTAAGCAACTGCCAGCTGTCAGCCATGATTAAAAGAAGTGTATCTGGTGTAACTATGTACCATTTAAGATGGACGCATTACCTGCAAAGTCTGAGTGTGGATCTCCCTTTGCCATATATTAGAGGTTTCCTACCTCTTCCTGTCCTGCATAGGTTTTGATATTCACATTTCTAGAAGTAAATTAACATCTTGAAATGCAACATGCAATGTATTGGTTTTCTTATGCTCTTCACAAAGGAGATGAGCTTAAGCATATTGTATGGGATTTATCCTCACATTTAGGCTCATGAAGAAAAGGCTTTCCTGGTCTCCTGCATCAGCAGCACAACCCTTCATTTTATTTGCCAGACTCCTGGCAGTGTCCTCAGCCTGCTGGGGACACAGGCTTCACAAATGGCAAGGTGGCCACAGGTTTAGATCTTGATTCTGTTCCAAATAAGTTTGACGGCAGAAACGTTTCGTGTTCAGAGACATATTCATTCCATCTTTATTCTTTTTTCCCTTTCTTGGAAATTTTTCTTTAGAGCAGAAATTTCCATCGCTCTGGCGGCTCATCTGTTTTGATGAATTCTTAGGTTGCTTGGTGTTTCTTGTCAAGGCTCTGTGAGGGTGAATAAAGCCTGAGTTGGGCAGAAAGGAAAACTGAGCCTTATTTTTTGTTTATTTACTCTGCTTTCATTCAAGAGTAGTGTAAGTGCAGCCCACAGGCTTTGATGAGTAAAGAAGTGGTGTAAACAGGAGGAGAATCTGTTCCTCTAGATGCATGTTTGGCCTGTGCTGACAGTGCCAGTGACGGATGGGGTTTCCCCTTTTGGTTGTGAGGTCAGGGGTATCTCATGGATCATTTTCCTCAACTTCCTGCGGAAGATGCTGTTTTCTGTCTGACCTGCTTCTAGTCCTAGCAATAATCTCTGAGTGAAATGTTTAACTCACCTCCACCTAAATACTGACTTAAAAGTATTCTTTCAATGCATGCAGGAAAAGACTCTGCTAAAATCTCTGAGCTCACATGCTCTTTAGATGGCACAATCTTTGTTCTTCATTGTGACTGTCTGCTTCCCCTCAGAGGGCTATGCAAAGATTTCCTAAAAAATAGAAATCTTTTAGGAATTATATAATTAAATGTGATTTTCTTCCTGTCCGCAGGAGCTGTGTTTTACAAGCAGAGCTGTTCTGTCAGCAGTGTGCCCAGTATCAGAGCAAGTCCTGTCCTGACGGAAGGTATGTAACCTACTGGGTTTTTTTTCGGTTGTGTGGGCTTTTTTTTCCTTTTTTTTTTTTTTTTTTTTTTCTTTTGGCAGACATCCTTGAGCATTTGAGACGGATGTGAGAGAGTTTTTAGTCCTCATGCAAAACAACCAACTAAACATAACATGAGGAAGCTGACGACAGTGCAGCATGTGGGCAACACATCGTATAAAGCTCATAAACTTGTAGGCTGATGTACGCAGCTCCCACCTTGGATTCTGTACCACTGCCTCCTGCAGCCGCAGGGGCTGCGCCGAGCACCGAAACCCGCTCGTGGGGACGGCGCGTTTATCCCCGCAAGACATGAAGGGCTTCCTGATGTTCACCCTCCTCCTGCTGCCCGTGCACGCTGGAACTGCTTGGAGTGCCAAATACGCGGTAGATTGTCCTGAGCCCTGTGACAGCAACGCGTGCAAAAGTACCTTGCGCTGTAAGCGAACGGTGCTGGATGACTGTGGCTGCTGCAGGGTGTGTGCGGCTGCTCTGGGGGAGACTTGCTATCGTACGGTCTCGGGTATGGATGGTGTCAAGTGTGGTCCTGGGCTGAAGTGCCAGTTTTACACTGAGGAGGATGACTTTGGTGATGAATTTGGTATCTGCAAAGGTAACAATATTCACTTTGCATGCACCCACTGCGGCAGTTTGACAGCAGCCTGCATAGAGAGCTTGCCTCCTGCTTGAAGGGGCTGAAAGGGGATTTTCCTAGCTCAGCCCTTAACCTGGGAGAAAGCAAAAAGTACCTGCTGGTGTTAAAAGATGTTCCATGTAGATGGGATAGGGGTAATTAGTGTGAGAATATTGTTTAGCCTCGGGGACATCTTTAAAGAAATATGAATAGGAGCTAAGATTTTTGACTGAAACTTTGGAAACCTTTGGAGAACTTTGGAGTTTTAACTGAACTTTGGAGTTACGGTGGGCGAGATAAGAGAGCTGCCTGACCTCCTGGGGCCATGGTCCGATTTAATTCGTTCCTGACTGTGAGATGCTCAGCTACGGTCGGCGTGTGGTCGGGGCAGGCAAGCCAGGGCTCTCCCGTGTGCAGGACAGCAGGAAAAGTCCCGGAGCTGGCTGGGAGAGGAGCGGGGAGCCACTGCTTTCACTCCACGCCAGGTTCGCTGCATGCCATTTCCTCTGCTCCTAGCCCATAGTGTTTCAGGTGAGAGCTGTTCTCACCTCGTTAGGAGGGCAGTTCTTGTAGAGGAGAGAAGGTATTAAAAACACAGGAGTGAGCTTTCTTCTGTACTGCTTCAGTAGGTAGGTGTCTCTGCCTCTGAATAACTTCATTCAAAATGCAGAAATTTTGACATTTAAATATTAGAAATATTAATAACTTTTGTTAAGGGAATGGCTTAGAGAGAGATGCTGCAGAAAGCATTCAGGTTGACTCATATAGAAGACAAACTTGCTTACCTTGCAATATAAATCACACAAATTCATGTGCATATTTGAGGGTGGGACACAAAATATCCCCCCTTTTTTTCTAAAATCTAGAATGTGTCTTGAATTCATACCTTTAAGATTCAAACCAAAAGCAAAAAGTCTGTTACTGAGTAAGCAGTAAGTATCAGTTATAATTCCTTTATTATTTCCTTAGACAAGTATATACTCTTCACCATCCTCAAGGAAATTTCTTTGCAACAGTAAGCTTAAAATGGGAAGATAGAAACACTGAGGGACATGGGAGCTCATTCTCTGTAGTAGAATCCTAGAAGCTCTGCAGAAAATATTAATGAAATATGAAGTAAAATCTTTTTCCCAGTGAGTCAATGGACAAGCTCATTAATTTCAGTAAAGCCATATTTTGACTTTGAATTCTAAATTGATAATTAGGGCTTCTATTTCACACACAGATTTATTTGAACTAATCTTGCAGAGCACTTTTCTGTCTTTTTTTGTTTTTCTATCTCAGCTCTGAGATGCTGTAATTTCTTATGTACATATTTGATTTTTTTCAGGCAAAGTTTGGAGCCAATATAGTTATTTTGTCTAACCATATATAGATATGATACTAGGTCACTCATTTGTTTTAATAACTTCCAAATTTATACTAAATCATGGGGCAGGGATGGCTAGACTCTTTTCAGCTGTGTATGACTAACTTGCTTTGAAGTTGCAGACAAATAATTTGAACTCCTGTTATTCTATTTCTTAATAGTGAAATGGGTAAAATATGCACAGCGTGTATTTCAGAGCACTTTGCTGAGCATTACTTCATGTTCTTGATAGTTTTATCTCAACAGTTTTAAAAGAGTAGATTAGGTTATTATATTATAGTTGTTTTAATCAATAGCAATGTTGTTATTATCCAAAACAGACTTGGGAAGACTGATGCTCTGCACTTTTATTGGGAAATTCCATCTTCAGGTGTTTCTGCCACAGTGAGAACCAGTTCTCAAGTCTCTTAAATCACAGGCAGTTATTGGCTGATTTATGTAAGATTGGTTTCCTGCTGCACCTCTCCTGCTAGCAGCAGAACCGACTCACATCCCTCAGTTTTACCAGGTCTGCAGAGCCCTGTCGAGTCCTGGTTGATTCCATTGGGGAACCAAGCGCTGCTGGACTCGGGCTTGTTTTGCCCCGGGCTCTGCAGGGCCCCTTGCTGAGGCCCACGGGCGCCCGCTGAGGCGCCGTGGCCTTGTGTGCTGTGAGTGCCAGCCCCACATGCCTGATGGGAGGATGGCGCGCCACAAACTGCTCTGCTTGGGCAGGATTTTGTCTTTTTTCACTCGCATGAGCAGCAGATCAAAGAGTGCCCTTGTTTGGGATGGGGAGCGCGGTGAAGCTCAGCGAGGTCCTCCAGGCTGGAGAAGATGTCCCTAGATGTCCCTAGGAAAAGTCAGGAGGATTTTCCAGAGCTTTTTTGTGCCCTCTTCCAAGCAAATTCACTGCTTTGGCAGGAGCCGTAGGTGAGACCTTCGCTGTCTGCCATGGGAAGGTGATGCTTTTGCTTAAGGAACGTGTCACGTTCCCTGAGAACCGGCAGCGGTTTTCTGCCTCGCTCGGCCTTGGCTTTCCGAGGCTGGGAAGGCAGTTTGCCACCCTGGATAGCTCCTCGGGGCAGGAGTTGGCAGCCACAGGGGAGCCTATAGGAAGTGTCCGTTCCTGTAAAGCAGCCCTGGCGGCGTCTGAATCGCCGGCGCTGTGCAAGTCTCACACGAGCACGCCTGAGGAGTGAGTTCAGAAATGTCCCTTTTTCTAAACCCGGCATTGATCTGCTTAAACTAAAAACCAAGACTTCACCAGACACGATCTGTACTTTTAACCACCTGCTCTGTGATTATGTATTTAGACATTCACATCACCTTTAATTTGCCTTTTAACACCACAAGCATTTCAGAGAAAGACTATTGATTGTACATGGTAAATAACATAACATGCAGCCATGCTGTAGGAATAGAAAGATGTCTAAATTGTGAGCTAAAGAAAACTTAGGCTTGTTAAAACTGGAAAATACTTGTAACAAAAATCGGCATCCCAAAATCCTTTCATTTCACTCAGAGGTTTTCCAGTTTTAAGGATCTATGCAGAGCAGCTATTGAGGGAGCAGGTAGGTGACCTGGATTACTGAAGACTGCTCTGCTATATTGCTTCCCAATGTGTCATCTTTCAGAGTGTCCCTACGGCACCTACGGAATGGAGTGCAGGAAAACTTGCAATTGTCCGTCTGGCATCTGCGACAGAGTCACTGGGAAGTGTTTGAAGTTTCCGTTTTTTCAACTCTCTGCTCCAAATCGACGAAAAGCCATTTCACACCCAGGTAAGACTTCTTGCGGGGCTTTTAGCAGAAACCACCTTGTGTGTGAGCTATGAGCGTGCGGTGGGTACTGTGCGTGAGCGCTGTGTGCTGTGGTGCAGCTGTGCTATTATCTAACAAGGCACATTTATTTTTCTCATTGGCAACTCCTTTAACTTATGGCAGGGAATTAGGTGTGCTACAATCCATCTGGAAAACCTAACAAGGCAAAAGGGTTTGGAGCTGTTGCATGCACTAGTGATATGAGGTTGGTTGTGCAACACAAGGATATGCCGAGACTCGTATCAGCCCATTTAGATGCATGGAGCCAGTGGTAAAAATTACCTTTTTTCTTTGAAGCCAGTGCTTACACATTTTCAGATGTCAGTGAAATGTTTTATGAGATGATTTCATTTAGTTATTTACACAGCATGTCTCCTAGAATACGTACTTATGTTTAATATTATTTCTTAAGCTTGCAAAAGATTCTTCACGAATTCTCTAAAAAGTGAAAGTATGTGAAAACAATTGAGTATTTGGAGGCAGAAGGAAGAGATTACAGATTTTATTTAAACGTGAGGTTGAAAGTTTTTCCTCTTTGATTATCTGTCTGGTAATACTGAAGTACATTTAACTGAGTAATGCTGAACTTAAGGCATTAAAAAGGAATTAAAAGGCATTAAAAGGAATTTTAAACATTTCAAATAAATACCAGTGACTTAATCCTAGTATACTGGGGACTTTTTTCGAATTTAACCCAAATCCTAGAAGTTTTTTTCTCCTCCAGCTGCAATTTGTTTGCCTTGTTCTGATTATTTCCTATTACATTAAACTGTCTAGTGCTTGTTGCTGTAATATATAGGGGTTGTCTTGCTCCTCTTCTCTGTATAGAGAAGAATAGAAAGGAACAAGCTGTTCATATCACATTAAAAATCATTTTTGAAAAAAAAATCAGTCTTGTTCCTTTCTGACCTTTCTCTGTGCTTATGTTCTTTTGCCTTTCTACATTTGTGTAGTACCAAGGGTGCTGAAATAACTCAAAAAAATATCATCTTCATTTTTTTCTTTTTTTTTCCTGCTTCTACTATATGCCCAGAGGTTACCAGGTAGCCTGTTCATTAGTTCCTGCTCCATTTTCTCCCCCACTGCCCCACTTTTGAATAAAAGCTTGTGCAGACGCAATATTTAGCTAATTGTGTGAACCCAACCGAGGGATCTCTTCACCCCAGAGAAGCAAGTGGAACTTTTGCTGTTGCCAATGCAAAGATTACATACAGATTTCTATCCCTCAGAGGTCATCGCTGATAGTAGACCAGGAATATTTTGTATAGTAGGTCATAGGATGGTCACAAATGACTGCTTTTAATAGTGGTCTTCAGTGGCAGCTATGCAATCTGGGATAGAGATTTGGCTAGTTGTATATAACAACTGAATGCTTCCATATCTTACTCAGGTCAGTTTGTGGCCCATATGTTTTAGAAAGATCCTATGGCTACATGTATCCTAGTAAATTAAGCAGTGGCAGAGAGTGTTCCTGTGTATTGCTCTTCACTGTCCTGTCCACCTGGCACAGACGGTGCCAGACCAGCTGGACTTTCTTCCCAGCAACCGCAGTCAGAGTTCAGGAACTGGCACGAGCCAGCGACCATTTCCAGCAGGCAGACCGGATATCTCTTACCTTCTTGTGGAGGGTAATGGAGCTGAAGGGTATGCGTCAGGTTATTCCATGACAGCCTCCAGACTGTTTAATTTACTACTGTAGGATCCACTACTGCAGAGGTCCTGGTGAGGATGTGTTCTCTGATCCCATGTCACTCTGGGAGTCTGAGCGCTGGAAGCTGAATTCAGGTCACCTGCCTTATGCTTAAACTATTAGAAAACACATCCGTTCTATGCCATAATTTGGCAGGTATTTTGCAACTAGGTAACCACAGATATTCAGGTAGATTCATGTAAAATGGATTATTAATTAATAATTTACTGAAATGTTCCCAAACCCAGGAAAGAAGTTGTATGAAAACATTTCAGTTCTCTTAATTTTTTCACAAAATATACCTTCTCTTTTAAATTTTCAGAGAACGACATGGCATCAGGGGATGGCAATTCAGTAAAAGAGGAATTTGTCAAGGAGAAAGCAATTCATTCTCCGGTAATGAAATGGCTAAATCCTCGCTGATATTTACTCTCACTCATAAGACTTTCAAGTGAATGCATTTCTCAGATTATTGAATATGCAACAACACACTTTAAGAACTAGGTAGACCTATAGCATATGAAAATGTAACCTCTGAAGGCCAATTGTGATTCTGTTTTTCATGAGAAAAATGTTTACTTAAAAATAGACTGTACAGTGTATATGATTTTTGATATTTGTTTTGATACGTATTTGAACACAGAAATGTATTGTGGATTGCTGAATGTATAGTATTATTAAAAAGAAGAAAACAACAACACAATTCAACCCTCCTTGTTCAAATAAAGTTGAAGGCCAACTCTTGCAGCCTCAGGCCAGAAAAGCTCTCATTGAATTCAGTGGACCTTTTGGGTGAGTCCAAAATTATTGGTATGGAGCCAAAGTGAAAGAAATGCACGTCAACAAGTCCCAGGATAGAAAGTAATGCCCCTGAGTCATACCAACAGAAATAATAATATTGTGGGAGCATAGTGGTGTGAATTAAATAAACCACCATCAACCATTAGTCATTTTCTGGGCTGTGAAAGTTTGGTTACAGTTCATAGGAGAAAAATATGCCTTTTTCAGGGAGAAAACACCTATCATTTAAGTTTATATGTTGTGAATATCTCAGCTGAGACACTGTAAAAATATATTGTATTAGGTAGATATCTAATATTAAATTCTGTATAGAGAAACAGATCTTTGGTAAATTATGCAGATTTGTAGAGGAACGCCTGAAAACACAGAAGTTATTTAGTATTATTTAAATGTATATGTCTCTATAAAATAGATATATTAGTGCCCTTATGGTGATATCTGCATTTCGTGAGGAAAAGAAGGTCCGAGGCCACAGGGCAGCGAATGGATCTTCCTTCTTCCCTGCTGGCTGCAGCTCCTCTCTGACTCTGAGGATGGACTTTATCCAACCACATGTAGACAAGACACGGACTCACAGTTCAATAGCGGATAGATCAGCCAGAGCCGACAGGTCCTGGGTGCCCCTTCCTTCATTTCTTAGTAGCAGGGACAAGCAGTCCTGTTCCAGCCACCAACGTAACCTGCCTGCGCTAGGGAGTCAGGAATCAGCAGTCTCTCTTTCAGTTTTTTATTTGAAACATAAAAATCCGCACTCAGATGGCTTTACTAATATGTTTGGAAACAATCAGATCCTCAGATACTGGAAATTAATGTAGTGGCATTGGAGTAAGCCTGGACTGCATGCAGCCAGGAAGCTCCTCATGGTGCAGAGCAGCCTTGTTAGACAGCAGCCCTCTTTCCTCTGAAATCAGTGTGAATGTTGACAGCAATGCCATGAACATAGGAAACTCCAAAGACTTTCAAGAGTCCAAATCCCGATCCAAAGCCAATTTCAGTCAACACAGATTGTTTTCACCTATGGAGGAATTAGAATAAAAAGAAAGTGACTGCAGTCATTTAAGTCTGGCACTATGGGTTTTCTGGCTACAATAATTAGAGAAAAATGAACAGAAATCCCAAGCTAACATGTACCATATTTTAACCTGTATCGATGTTTAGGTCTGAGGGAAAGGGGTATTATATTTGGATCTTTACAAGCAAAGATATTGATTCTCAACCACTGATAACAAAAGTAATTTTCTTGATTTTAGTGAGAGCAGGATTAAACGCATGTTCCTTCAGCAGACTGAAGAGAATTATTTAAAGATTGAAATGAATATTTGCATACTTTATTGTTATTTTGCAACAGTGTCATGAATGACATTATGGGTTTTTGAAGGTAAATCTAATAAGCTGGTTGGTTTTAAAAGTATATGATTATTATTGTTCAATAAAAAAAAATGAAAGCATCACTGTCTATTGTGTGTATTGATAATAAACAGAATAAGATTCCAGACTATTGCATAGCCACTGTGCATGCAGTCTAGGCAAAATTTTACTCCCAGGTCCATAGAGGGGCTACAAAATGGCTACAACTATTTGAATAAGTAAATTTGCTCGCTACAACTATTTGAGTAAGAAAATTTGCTGGGGACTGCTCCTTGTCACTGCAGAAAACAGACACATTCAGGATGGCCCAGAATTCAGAATGGGAGGAAACATTTTGGGTCAAACAATTTGGGGACAAATTCTTCTATTTTCCATCAAGCCTTTGCTTTTCCTTAACTGCCCCGGTGACAGATCGCTCCACACAAAATAGTTTCTGACATTACATTAGAGAGGAAGCAAATTGCATGAAATGATGTGCATGGAACCAAGGGCTGCTAATCTGCCTTCCCTATGGTCCTTCCTTTCTACTTTCTACCTCCCCTGTCACATCTGCTCTCAGTTCCCCTCCACTCTCCATTTCCCTTGTTTTGTGCAAGGAGACTCTCTTTTACACTTTTTCTCCTTTTCACACTTAATTGTGTGTGTTTCAGGTGCCACTTCCTCATCCCAGCAAGCCAGAGATCAGCCGTAGATGCTCTTTTCTTCCAGAAGAAAAGTTCTGACTGCTCCTGCCACTTTATTTAAATACTTTTTTCATACATTAATTCCAATGAGACTGTGTTTGTAAGTGGCAAATAGGCCTCATTTCTAGTAGTCTTGATTTTCTCAATTAGTACAGAGCAAAATAGTAAGATTATTTCAGATTATATACACAGATTATTACAGATTATATGCTTAATATGTAAATATACTGTCAAGTATATTGTAATACAATATAATTGTTTCTGTTATACCCTGTATCATAGGATGTTGCAGGCACCATTACAGTACAAGCAACATATTGTTGTATGCCTGAAATATACAGAGGAATAGAAAAGCCTAAAATGCATTCAAATATGTTCCACCTGTGATTCAAATGTTGTACAACACATATAGTACAGACCAACATTACATGACAAACAGCTTTATCAGCTTCAACATGGCAAAACAGCTTCAATGTACTTTAAGGTATAAGTTCCTTGCATTAACACATTTGCACAGGTTATTTTGAGACATACCACAGCATAACCACCCTAATATGATTAACAGCATAAATTTGTCTCCATGATCTGCTGAGACTTACGTATTAGTGCAAACACACCAAACCACAGTTTAAATGGAAATATATTTATTATCACCTCTGTGCATGCTTGATATCTGTTTAAATGGACTGTCAGGTCACAGCAGTGCTTTGAGAGTACTTCCTGACACCTGCAAAGTTGGTAAATATTTCCTGTTTTTGTTGTGTCTGCTGAAAATAGGGATTTTACAAGTGGGAGCTGACAGTTTGACAGGCTCTCCGTGACACTCTCCTGCTTGGCAGGTCGTAGTGTGGTTTCCACCGACTCCTGCGACCATCCACGAGAACCAGGGCTGCCCAGAGGCACCTTCTGCCCTTCTTGCTCTCCCCACACTGGCAGCAGCCGAGCGCGTAGCTGTGTCCTGGGTGGCCGCAGACCACGCACAACCTGCCTGCCCGGCTCAGCGCTTGCACAGCGGGTGCATATAGCGAGTACATAGGGATAGCACACATAGGGGAATACAGCAAACACAAAGCAGGACCCGGTCTCTGCATGCTGAAACATTCCCTGCTGCTTCTCTTCAAGTGCCAGGCTGGATGGAGAAAAAGACAAAGATTTCCTTTAAATTTATCAGTTCTGCTGTGCTCCTCCCTGTTTCCTTCCCAACCACTGCGCTTCCACAGTAACTGCAACTCCAACTTATGTACTGGCTTCCCTATTACTTATTAAAGTTTTAACGTAAATATTGGACCGAAATTAGGTGCAACAATTAATGATGCGAGAGCAAATCTTCACCATTCCAGTGAATTTTTATCCACCTCTTTTAATTTTTCTTGAAACAATTTACATCATGAAGTCATTCTGCTGCCTTTAAACACCAAGCTGCAAGAGAGTTCTTTGATAAACTAGGATAACGGGAGTCGTATGAACATTACTTGAAAATGTCTTTCTTCCTCACAGGAGAAACATCTATTTTTGAAGAACAAATAATGGATTGGAATGCCATTGAAATCCAAACACAATATTAGTATGTTCCTGAAAAAAAATAGGTACAATGCTGAGGGAGAATGCATGAGAGCCCTTGCAGCTGTGTCACCCTTTCCTGTTTGTTATTTTTAGTTTTCTGTTCCCGCTTTTTATTTTCAGCTATGCTTTGCTTCCTATGCAGCTTCCCTTCAACTCCTGTGTAGCTTTTTCTTACATATTGCAGCAGGCATTTGGATTTTTTTTTTTCTTTTTTTTTCTCTCTCTCCTTTTTTTCTTTTTTTTTCCAAAGGAAACCCAAGCAATGCTGGCCAGCTTCAGGAACTCGTGTTTCTCTTGGCATTGCTTGAGCTCTTGGTTTTCTAAAGGCATTTAGGAAATTTACATTGGCAGTTTTGAGCTTTGAACATGATAAGGCTTTATAAGCACAAGAAAATAGCAGCACACATAGAGAATGCAAGTCTGCTCTTCAGTCTGTCCCAGGCTTCCTCGCTCCTAGGAAACCATCGCTATCCAGTTTTGCTTTAATCTTTCAGGATGTCATTAGAAAACAAATAAATAAACAAAATCACCAAACCAGGACATTTAAGATACCAGCTCTAGTAAAATATTGTGTTGTTGTAAGATGTGTTTTGTTTGTTTGTTTGTTTTTTCTTATTTGTATATTGAAGTTCTTGAGATCTTATACAGGCATATAGTCTATTTATGGAACAGGAAGTGCTATCACCTCTTAAAATGGTACCACAAATTTCACACTGCTGAGTGTTTTCCTATGACCCATATTCACTGAATTAGTTAAGAACCTCAGTTGGTGTTTTAAAAAAAGAATGTTTTGGAATTTCCTTAGGCAGAAAGACTTGCAAGGGGGGACCAGAGATTCAGAAATCAGGAGCCACAAATACAGTCCAAACGGTGTTGTTAAAAAAGAAAAATGATTTCTGGCCCTTGGCTCCCAACCGGAACTGTAAGCTTGGGGCTAGTGGTAATGATGCCTTCCAATGGCAACGATAAAACCAGAGTGAGCAGCAAAAAGGGTGAACAGCGAAAGCATCTCTTTACCTCCCTAATCTCTCATCTCCCAGCTCTAGAAAGCCTCCTGGAGCTGCTCCCACTCCGAATGACAAAGGCTGGCAGCCGCTGGCTGCTGTGAACTCCTCCTACAAAACACTGCCGAGCTGCCGAGCTTTGTACCTGGCTTGGTATCCCCGAATCCTTCCGTAATGGAAACTCTGCACAAATGCCTGAGGCACAAAATTAAATGATTTCCAGGACAACATAGGCTATACCTGGGTCTAGCCTTTGTCTCTAGGGCATTCGCTTCTCTAACCAGCTTGG